AGGCAGCTTGAGGCACTCAGCTCTCATCAGCTACAAGAGCAAGTTAGCCACTTGTATGGCTGATGGTGGAAGGGCCCCGTGAGCTCACTGGCAAGGGATGCGGGGTCATCAGAAAGCTGAAACAGTATACCTGCCCCAGGTGAGGCTGGATATGGAGTTCGCTGTAAGACCTTCTTTTCCATTGGGCTTTCATTATTTGTTTGTTTAATTTTTTTGAGTTGGGGCCTCACTCTGTCACTCAGGCTGGAGTGCAGTAGCACACTCACGGTCATTGCAGCCTCAGACCTGCTGAGTTCTGGCAATTCTTCCATTTCAGCCCTTCAAGTAGCTGGAACTAGAGGTGCCTGCCATCATGTCCGGCTAATTTTTAAATTTATTGTAAAGATAAGGTCTCGCCAAGTTGCCCAGGCTGGTCTTGAACCCCTGGGCTCAGGCAATCCTTTAGGCTTGGCCTCCCAAAGTGCTGGGATTTCAGGTATGAGCCACCGCTCCTGGCCTCCATTTGGCTTTTAAATCAACAAAGTATTACAGAGAAGTAGCCAGATGATTTAAACAATTAAAACAAATGAATTCTGAGTTTGAAAATGGAAAGAAGTTAAAACTCAAGTGTCAGGCCACTTTAAAAAGATAACAACTTGGTCAGGAGCAGTGACTCGGGCCTATAATCCCGGTACTTTGGGAGGCTGAGGTGAGAGGATTGCCTGAGCCCACGGGTTCAAACCAGTCTGGGCAACTTGGTGAGATCTCATCTCTACAATAAATTAAAAAATTTGCCAGGCATGGTGGTGTGTTCCTGTAGTTCCAGCTACTTGGAAGGTTGAGGCAGAAGGATCACCTGAGCCTAGCAGGTCAAGGCTGCAGTGGCCGTGAACGTGCCACTGTACTCCAGCCTGGGTGACAGAGTGAGACTTCAACTCCAAAAAAATAAAAATAAAAAAGATAACACAGCCAGGCTCGGTGGCTCAGCCTGTAATTCTGCGCTTTGGGAGGCTGAGGTGAGTGGATTGCCTGAGCCCGCAGGTTCGAGACCCGTCTGGGCAAGTTGGCGAGACCTCATCTCTACAGTAAATCAAAAAATTAGCTGGGTGTGGTGGCAAGCGCCTGTAGTTGCAGCTACTTGGAAGGCTGAGGCGGAAGGAATGCCAGAACCCAGCAGGTCAAGGCTGTGGTGGCCGGGAACGTGCCACTGCACTCCAGCCTGGGCAACAGAGTGAGACTCCAACTCAAAAAAAAAAAGATAATGCCTGGATCCATCCTGGGAAAGGATCGAGGGTCAAGAGAGAACATTCTGGAAGCAGAGCGCCCACGTCCTTAGGGAAGGAAGATCATCAGACTGACCCCACGCTGCAGCTGGGGGTGGGGACTGCTCTTGCTCATTAATGAAATGGAGACGCGAGTCCTGGTTTCTGGGGAAATTACACAAGGAGGTATTGTAGATGGGTGGAATACCAGCCAGAATAAATACCTCAGAAGAAAATTAAGTACACAGCTGGGCTTGGTGGCTCAGCCTGTAATCCCGCACTTTGGGAGGATGAGGTGAGTGGATTGCCTGAGCCCGCGGGTTCGAGACCCGCCCAGGCAACTTGGCGAGACCTCATCTCTACAATAAATCAAAAAAATTAGCTGGGCATGGTAGCGCGCACCTGTAGTTCCAGCTACTTGGAAGGCTGAGGAGGAAGGATCGCCAGAGCCCAACAGGTCGAGGCTGCAGTGGCCGGGAGCAGCCACTGCACTCCGGTTTGGGCGACAGAGTGAGACGCCAACTCAAAAAAAAAAAAAAAAAAAAGAAAAGAAAATTAAGTACACAAGGAACAACATATCTAAGTAAACATGTCATTGCATTTAGATAAATACGACAGTCTATGTGGATGATGATTTCAGGGTTAGGACCCTGCATGTTGAAAGAAATGCTAGGCCGGGCTCGGTGGCTCAGCCTGTAATCCTGCGCCTTTGGGAGGCTGAGGTGAGTGGATTGCCTGAGCACGCAGGTTCAAGACCCGCCTGGGCAGCGAGACCTCATCTCTACAATAAAAATAAAAAAATCAGCCGGGTGTGGTAGCGCATGCCTCTAATTCCGGCTACTCAGAAGGCTGAGGCGGAAGGGTCACTGGAGTCTAGCAGGCGAGGCTGCGGTGGCCGACAGCGGCCACTGCACTCCAGTCTGGGCGACCGAGTGAGACTCCAACTCAAAAAAAAAAAAAAAAAAAAAGAAAGAAATGCTAGGTTAAACATAACGGCTGGCCGGGCTCGGTGGCTCAGCCTGTAATCCCAGCACTTTGGGAGGCCAAGGTGAGTGGGTTACCTGAGTCCGTGGGTTCGAGACCAGCCTGGGCAACTTGGCGAGACCTCAGTTTCTACAACAAATTTTAAAAATTACCTGGGCGTGGTGTGCGCCTGTATTTCCGGCTTCTTGGAAGGCTGAGGTGGAAGAATTGCTGAAGCCCAGCAGGCTGACGCTGGGGTGGCCATGAGTGTGCTACTGCACTCCAGCCTGGGCGACGGAGTGAGACTCCAACTCAAAATAAAAACAAAAAATAAAAACCATGATGGCTAAGAACATGAGGGAAAACTCTAGCAAAGTCATGATGCAAACAAGAACCTTCCAGCTATGGGAGTTGAGGACGAAAATTACTTCAAAGGCAGCAAAAGCAAGAAACAGGAGAAGGAAGCCTAGACAGAACACGAGCAGGACCCTGGGATGCATGGGTGAGGACCAGCCTGTGGGGGCTGCCATCTCATGCAGGTCCTGGTCTAAGTGGTCCTAATTTACAGACACAGCCTCCCTGTGAAATCAAAAAATAAAAAGCAATCACAAGCTCTATACAAACAAAAAAGGCTGGGCACAGTGACTCACACCTGTAATCCCAGCACTTGGGAGGCTGAGGCAGGAAGACTGCCTGAGCCCAGGAGGTCAAGGCTATGGTAAGTCATGATTGTGCCACTGCCCTACAGCTTGGGCAACAGAGTGACACCTGAGTGCAAAAAAACAAAAAACAAAAAACAAAACAAAACAAAAAAACCCCACCAACAAATAAATAAAATGTAATTACGTGTTCTTTAAAAACAAATGAAAATCTCTGAAACAAAAGGACAGGAACAGAAGTTGAAAATAAATGGAAACCATGTAGTAGGGAAACATTAATAACAGCAAAGTCAGTGTGGTGTGGTAGCCCGTGGTCAGGCTGTGTGGCCGTGGTCAGGCTGGAGCCAGCACAGGGGGTACCCCTGAGCCCCAAGCCCCCAAACACCAAACAGTCCCAAACATGACACCCACTGCCGTGCCAGTGTGGGAGGGATCCCAGCCCTCCTGTCACAGAGACAGGCCAGGGAGGCCAAGCCTGAATAGACATCAGGCACTGGGGGACAAGGACGGTGCTCAGGCCCGACAGAGGCTCCACGGCCAGCACACAGCCTCTCACTATGTGGATTCAGACCTGAGACCTGGACATTTCCTGTGGGAGCCCTCCAGGCCGCCTGAGAGAAAACTGTGATGTGGGTGGGCCCCCTGTCCCTCGCGGTGTTCGAGGTCCATGGACCGCAGTGAGGGGTCTGGACCCTGAATTCTTTCTCCTTCAGGGTGTGTTTCCCGTACAGAGTCATGGTGAGGTCCAGCCCTGTAGGCAAGGTCACTTGGGGCCTGGTCTGAGGATGCCCCAGAAGTATAGGGGTGGGGGCTTCCAGGTGAGGGACAGAGGGGACCAGGAGGAATGAACACTGAGAACACTGGAGCCCTGGGTCCCCAACTCGAGGGACATGAGGGGCAGAGGAGGGGAGAAACAGGCAGCTGCTACCTAGCTCAGTCCTCTAGCAGTCCCGGGAGATGCTGTGTCAACAAGAGGGAAACTGAGGTTTGGAGCCCAGGCACTGCCCTGGGACGCACAGCCTTGGGAAAGGAACGGGCCCTTGTCCTTGGATTGGGTCCTAAGGCCCCTGGGCTAAGCCAGTGACACTGGCCTGTCCAAGCCTTGGCATCCAGGTCTGTATGAAGGTGCAGTGGCATCTGATGCAGAGGCCGGCAAGCCCTGCAGTGTGTGTGGAGGGGATTCTGCATGACTCAACAGGCCTGAGAAACCAGGGGGCCCAGTCTTCCCTCCTGCTCCTCCTGCAGGCCTGGTTTAGACTCATTTTCAGCCCACTGCCCACCGAAACCCTGGACGATGGAACCCTGGACGATGGCCCTGCCCTGGGGTCAGGTCATGGGTTGGGGTCATCCCCTGGGCATTGGGTTCTTAGCAGCCCCTGGGCAACCTGATGGTGACCTGCCCAGTCTGAGAAAGGGCTCCGGTCCTTGGGAAGTGATTCTTGAGGCCAGCTCCAAAGTCCAATGGCTCAGCTGCAAGCTGCAGGCAGGGTGTGGTCACTGTGACTTAGAAGGCCAGAACTGGGGTGCAGAACCCCAGCATGAGGGCAGGTATGGGGGGGGTCGCACCTGGGCCATGCACTGCCTTCCGGAAACGTTCTTGTGTTTTATCCCCGTTGGTAGTCACATGGAATTATTTTTACATGCCAAGAGGCATATTTTGAGGAGGGAATATTTGAAAGACTTAATGTTCATCTGCAGATCTCAGACAGGCCCCGGGTCCTGAGGGGGTGGCAGCGAAGCAGCAGAACCTCAGGGGGACTGATGTTCACAGCCCACCCCCTGTGCTGGTCCGTCTCCAGTTCCTCTCTCACCTGGGCTCTGTCCCTACCCTGGGGTCAAGGATCTGGTCTGCTACTAAGCCTCTGCCTCACCCAGGTAGCAACGCCCAGCCTTGGCCTGGGATCTTCATCCTACCCACCCTGGCAGGGAATGTGCTGATTATTCATTGGGTAGGGGAGGCTGTAAACAGGACAGCTGTGGTGATAATCGCCTCCACCAAAGGCCTTTCCTCTTTCCTCTGTCCTCTCTCCCAGCAGCAGAGTGGCTCTCACAGCCCAAGCTCATCCTCCTCCTACACAGGCCAGCCAGGCCAGCACCGGGACGCTGAGTGGCAGAAGTAGTCCTTGGAGGCCTTGTCATGTGGGCCAGCTGGTTGCTCTGGCCTCTAATGGCCGTCTGTGCTGCGGACTCCTTCCGGGACCAGGCTGAGAGAATCATGCGGGACAAGCCTGTCATTGACGGGTGAGTGGGGGGCCGGGAGCTGGCTCCTATGCCTGGATCTCGGGCATCAGTTTCCCTCACTGTCACAGGCTCTTGTGCTTTGCTGGTCTCACTTCCTGGTGGGGTTTCTCAGGCCTCCAAGGGCTCCAGCAGGTGATGGTCTGCAGTTAATGGGCGGGAGGGAGGAAAGGGAGACCCCCATGCTCAGCGCAGGGTTCTGGACGTTAAGGCAGTTCCCACTCTGCTGACCTGGGCCTCCCTGGTCCTGTCCAGCTCCCTGAAAGCTGCAGGTGAGCGGAGGCATGAGTGGTGCCAGCTCAGAGATAACCAGGTCCATGCATGTGCGTGGCTATCCACGGCGTTAGACTGTTGCTGATGGTATTTCAATCACAAAAGCCACAAGCTACATGGCAGTCCCCTTAGTATTAATACTTGCTGTTAGCTGGGCTTGGTAGCTCAGCCTGTAATCCCGCGCCTTTGGGAGGCTGAGGTGAGTGGATTGCCTGAGCCCGCGGGTTTATGACCCACCTGGGCAACTTGGCAAGACCTCATCTCTACAATAAATAAAAAATTAGCTGGAGCCGGGCTCGGTGGCTCCGCCTGTAATCCCGCACCTTTGGGAGGCTGAGGTGAGTGGATTGCCTGAGCCCACGGGTTTGAGACCCGCCTGGGCAACTTGGCGAGACCTCATCTCTACAATAAATCAAAAAATTAGCCGGGCGTGGTAGCGCATGCCTGTAGTTCCAGCTACTTGGAAGGCTGAGGCGGAAGGATCACCGGAGCCCAGCAGGTCGAGGCTGTGGTGGCCGGGAGTGGG